CCAAAACTAAAATTATGAGGGACAACACTCCTCTAATCTGGTGTAAAATGAAGATTTTTTGATATATAAGATATTAGAGGTCGATGAAGGTGATAGAAGAGGATGCAGATCGGTATAACGGTTAAATGTCTCTAATGTTTAGTTAGAAGAAACAAAGTATATTCTAGAATTTATCATATAGGAGTATAATCTCATTCGGCACTAAATGTTATATATATTGAAAAAAATATGTTCGATAATATGTTTAACATAATAATAAATGTGCCAAAAAAAATCAAAGACAATCCAAATTCTAGAGAAGACTTGAAATTTTTTTATTGAAGGTTAAGCTTTACGAAAATACCACTAAAACAAGTTTTACGCTAAACAAAGAACGAGAAAAGGGTATTGCTTGAATGGATCAAGTAACTCAAGTTTCTTAACGCATATGTTTCTAACATAACAAGATGTGGGGGTATGAACAAGCTTAAATTGTATAAATGAAAAGTCATGAGTGTCATGTGTTTATACGAGAGATTAATACCTGTTGCATTTAAGGAGCTCTTGTCGAGAAATGTTTAGTAAGCACTTACCGAGTTAGGTTTGTTCTTCGGAGACTTGACTTTAACTATGATAAGGATAGATGATATGATACATCTTAAGACGAGAGATACCTCTAATTCTGTATATACTAGAACATATATTTGCTTCTAATTTTTTTTACTCTATAAAACATCTTTTAGTCTACCGGCCATATTAGGCAAGGATTACGGGATCAATATAATATCGATGAATGTATCCGTTTGAAGGATAATGATATTGATTTATAATATTAAATAAAATGATTTTATAATTATTAATCATTAACTACCTTAATGTTTTAGATATCTTTAAAAGCTTAAAAGTAATGTAAAGAAAAAAGTGAAAGTGAAAGGGTCAATATGCAATGCATATTTAGTTGAAGAAGCCTCTTCATTTTATTCATACTACTTTAAGCTTCATGTGAATACTAGGTATCAAAAAGAGTTGTACAACATCGAGTGCAATAAAGAATTGAGTGACCACATTGAAGGGATGCTTTTCATATTCAAACGAGCAAAGTCGATCAATTGGTTAAGCCACAACATAGAGGTTGACGAGAAGAAGAGCACAAAGTAGTCCATCAATATAATTATTGAACGGTCAATAAGTTAAATCTTATATTAGATAAGTGTCTAATATTTAATATCAATATTATTAATATTTAATTAGCCATCATAATATATAAACTTAATAGCATGTGATTTTTTCACGGTAGATACATTACCTAACAACAACAAAATAATCCCTATATCGTCGAAGCATGAGGTTAATGGTGGACTTGAAACCCAGTTTATCGAATGCTTTAACAAATATGTGAGTATCCTCATTTTAGTTCGGGTTTGCTAAATGGTTTTCTTTTACTCTTAACTAAACTTTTTGTCATGAATCTCAATTTTTCAAACAAAATATGCACAATCAACTCTGTATGATAGACTAGCTCATAAAAGATCTTGAGAAAAGCCCTTTATATACTCGTAAAGTCATAAGCTGGAATACATTGTAAATGAATATAAATTTCACACACAAGATCATGGTACAAATAGAACAAGTATGAATAATAGAGTGTGCATTAAAAGATCTAATTATAATGCGGATGAGAGTGACTATTGCGAGATATTGATTAAAATTCTACGAGTTATGCACTACCAATCAAGAGAACAATTGTGTTCAAATGTGACTGGTTTGATTTTACATCGAATGGAATAAAGATTCATTTGTAATATAGACTAGCAAAGATAAACTATAGAAAAAGTTTCAACAAATATGAATTCTTTGTTCTAGTGACACAAGTAGCTTATGTGTTATATTGCATATCCTAGCTTAAAGCACAATCATGTGGATTAGTAGAGTGTTTGTAAGATAAAAGTTAGGGATGTGATTGATTTTTTAAAATCGTCCGATGGAGTCCAACATAATACGGACCCATTTTAAGAGGATGATTCAAAAAACCAATATAATTTAATCGAGGATGATGGTGAAAAATAGTTGTTAAATGATTCAAATGGATCACTTATAGATATATAAATAATTAAAGCTAATGAAGAAAATAAGTGAATATGTATCGAATCGATCGAAGAAAAGAAAAACTTAGAATATTATTATGACAATTGTAATTAAAGATTTATTTTATTCATTAAATTATATTGTTTTACCAATTATGTATTTTTTTTTATGTTTGTTGTGCATTTTAGATGTGTTGAATTTTATTTGTTTTAATTCATAATAATTTATACTATATTTTTTATCAAATTATTATTCATTTGTTAAACTATTTCGGGTGTTATTCTTGTGTCATGCTTTTTGGATTGGGCATATCTAGTTGCGGTGTCAATGGTCGTGGCTTGGATTTGATCATACGACTAATAGAGATGGTGTAAGTAGACGTAGTACTTGCTAGTCGGATTGTTCGAAGGCGTACACTTGATAGTGGTACTGGTACATTTGTATCCACTTTAGTAGTGCCCCCGCTGACAATGCCCCTGCGAGTAGTGCCCCCTACTGTGAATAATCCTACTATGGTTTCCTCGACTCTAAAAAGTTCAATTTGATCCGATGATAGACAAACCATTTAGGTCATGAATAACTAGTAAGTAATATATTTTATATGTGATAATTAGTTTTATATTTTCATGTATATATTAAAATCATCAATTAACTTATTTATATTTATCCATTTTGTTTGATAGTTTGGTTCCATCAAGTAAGTACTCCATAAAAATCATTGTAATTTTTAAAAAGTGATTGGACATCCTTGGCTCTGCATGGAAGTACTGTCTCTATGGAGATGAAAGCCTTCTACTTTAATGGTTTAGGATAACATATTAATTATTTGCTTATATTTCATTTAAAGTATTAATTTAACATGAAAAAAATACTAATATTATTTTTTTCATGTAAAATTAATTTTTATGGCATACGGTTTTCGACTCACTAATTAAGGATATGTGAGAGAGTCGACATGAAAGCGATATGATGACACGAGCAACAAAGCTGAAACATAAGGATAACGGAACTCTGTATGTTAAACAAGAGGTATGAGAAGCATGACACTAGGATTGGGCCACTCTTGAGTATCGAGTCCGATCTCGGCAAGTATTTCAAAATAACATATTGGAGCGGGTGGTGTTAGTGCTAACCTATCCAAGCAAATTGGAGGGTCCATCTTTTTGAATGAGCACACTAAGCGTTTAGTAAATACTATATTATCCATTGTGTTATAAATTTATTTATTTATTTATTTAATCTCATATTATTTTATTTATTTTTTCAACATCATATATTGGGTCATAACTCAAATTCTTATTAGTTGTTCATGACCACTCATAAGCGAAAGGATGATACATTCGTTCATAGGCGATTGTAGATAATAATGATAAGGTTTTATATATTTTTTTAAATATATGTACATCTACCAATATAATCTAAAAATATATTTATATTTAATATTGTTATTATTTTAATAACTTAGGAGCATGTGTAATCAATGCAAGAAACAGTACGTTAAAAAGCGACATAAGAGTGATGCATTGTCTCAAGATATCGACATGTCCAAGAAATATTGGATGCTTTCAAAGGGGAGAAGAAGCAAAAAATGTACGATATCGGAACTTATGCATCTTAATGTTACTCGCATTATGGCGCCAACTCCTCCTATATTACTTCGTGATATCTTGGTGATAATATTCAAAAGGTTTACGCCTAGTATGAAGATTGGATCAAGGGGATGAAGGTTAGTCTTCGACAAGAGGCTAGTCAAATTAGCGAGCATGCGATTTAGTTGTAGAGAGTTTTGGGATTGTTAAAGAACCTATCGCCACCTCTCGTCCCTCGTGCTAATCCTCTCATAACCTAAAAATCAGTTGTTCTTCTCGGCAACTAGAAGTCTGGAAGATTATAGTGACAATGAGGACTAAATTTCATGTTTTTTTCATTTTTTTAAATATTTTTGTACATCTTAACTTATTTATATATTTTATTTTATTATATATATATATAGTGTGTTTTAATAAGGTGGTGTTTATATTTGTTTGCTATTATAATTACCAATAAACAACAATTTATTTGAAAAAAAAACAACGGATTTAGTAACGAAATAGAGAGGATAATTAGCAATGGATGCATACTCGGTCGCTAAATAGTGACGAAATTACGAGGATATTAGTAACTATAATTTAGTGACAACACATTTTGTTGCTATTTAGCGACGGATATAAATGAAAATAGTGACGGTTAGCGACAAATTTGAGACGTTAGGGATGACTGATTTAGAATCATTTAGAGACGGACAATCAACGGAATAATGACGGATTTATCGTCGCTAATTAGTGACGGATTTGTCTTCGCTAATTAGTGAAGGAAAAAAATTTAGTTGCAAAAAAAAATAGCGACCACCATTTTTATGATGGATTAAATATTATCTCTAATCCGTTGTTAATTTTATATAGCGACAGATTTTTACAAATAGCAACGGAAAATTTTTGTAGTGTACCATACACAAACAATTAATTATTAGATATTATCAATATCTTGCTCTCACATTTATATTAAAATAAAATCAATGAATAACTACCATAGTTAATAGTATGTGTAAGTAAAATAACAAAACATCCAGGGTATTTAATAATCTATCGATAATGAATGAAAGTTCTTGTCAAAGCTTCTGCAGTCAGGTTTTGATTGGCATGCATCCTGCTGTTTCTCTCCATCCAGACTTCGCACGTATATTGTAGAACACCAAGCATGCCTCAGGGGAAAAAAAGCGCTTTTTTTTTTGCAAGTTTTGTACAGCCCAAAAATAAATAAATAGATAACACAAAAAAAAATGTTGCATCATATTTTTTTATTGATAACAATAAGTTATTTTGTCATGTCTTGTATGGTGCCATGCATGTACCAAACAAGTCTTTAATTACAAATCACGTCCTTAGAATTGGTCCTCACTAAATTTTATGTATTAAAAGCTTTTGCAACACTTCTTCCGTGTTAGGTCTTAGGCTTTCATTTGGATTTGTACATTGAACAGCTATTGATAGTGCACTTTGAAATGCAGATGAATCATATGCCCCTTTTAGGCCAGGATCTGCCATGCCACTTAAACTTCCTTTTCTCAATATTCCATCCCTTGCCTGTGAAAAAATCAATTGAACCCCTTTGTCATGCACCATAATATCCCCCACTTGGTCTTAATAAACTTTTTTTGTAAATAAATAATTAAAATTTATCCACACTAATCTTCCTATATATATATAGATGATAAGGTGATTAGAGGCAATCATGAGCAAACCTCAACAATAGATGTGGACTTTCTTCCGGTTATGATTTGAAGCAGCACAATCCCAAAATTGAAAACATCATTCGCAATCTTCTCCCGTTCAATTTTCTCTTTTGATTTGTAAATTGACAAATTGAAGTCTGAAATCTTGGCTTCTAGTTTCTCATTCAGTAATATTTTTGTCAGCTGAGACACAATAGACTATATTGTTCAGACATTTAAGAAAAATTATCTTGGCCAAGAAGTATAATTAACTCTCAACTAAGTAGCCAATTACCTTTATGTCTCCATGGCATGTCTTCATCAATGGATTGCTATGGAGATACCACAAACCCCTTGCAACATCAATAGATATGTTCATCCTTTGCTGCCATGTCAAGATTGGTGTCATGCGGTCGCCTCCTAAATATACACATCACGTACGAGATAGTTACACGGGCTAGCTAGCAATTGAACTTGAAATTTCTGTTTAGAAGTCTCATGTTCAAACCCAAGAAAGTGAAGATGAGGATTTGAGGTTGAAGAAATTACCATGTTGTGTAGTTCAAAAACCAGTTGGACCGGGGGAAAAAAATAAAAATTGATGCGTGCAATGACCAAGAAACTTACCGAGAAGCCAGGTTGCTAAATCACCGTTAGGGCAATATTCATAGACCAAAGATTGATCTCCTTTATCGCAATAGCCAACAGTGCTGACCAAATTTGGATGTCTTATTTTTGCTTTTCTACATATCTCGTCAAGAAAATGACTAACTTTAATCCCTTCATTAAATCTCTTGATTGCCACTCTCATTCCACTAGGCATCATTCCAATATACGTTTTCCCTGAACAAAAATTGTTAATTATGGTGTTATTTTATTTTGGGGTTTTCATATAGTTGTCTCTCATAATTATTAGTTAAATGCATAAAAAAATAAAGTGTATATATATGGATCATACCTAGAATGCCTTCTCCAATAAAATTTGAACGACTAAATGAATTGGTAGCTTTAGCTACTTCATCTTGTGAGAAAACATAGAGATCACAACAGTTCAAGTAACTTGCAGATTCCTCCTCCTCCAGTGTTTTCTTAAGAGCTATATATAATATCATGCAGGGTTTAGTTATTAGGCCTCGCCAAAAACAGGATTAGTGGACATAGGACCTATGCTTATCCCAAGCACACTCACCAGATAGATTTTCATTATTATCTTTGTCACTTGCATACTGTAGTTGCTTCCTTGTTAACTTGTAAAGAATTGGAGCTAAAAGGACAAAGATCGCTGATACTACTATTGCATAAAGAAGTTTCTTTGATTCCAGGAGGTTTCCTTCTCAAAATTTATCAAACAATTAGGCCTTAATTGTAGCTTGCATTACAAGTAAGGAGAAAAAATTTGCATCGTGTAAAAGTGGAGAAAGAGAAAGTTCACTTGTGTTTTTCCTATTTACCTCTTTTGGTAGTAAGTTTAGCCAATGGTGACTCTGAAATATAGTGACAGAAAAGCATTAGTTTGAATGATTAAAAAGAAAAGAAAAAAAAAAAAAAAAGAGAATCCTCCATGTTATACAGTAGAAAAAAATTGAGAAATCTTACCTATTTCATTCCATAAACATGAAAAAATTCCAGGAATCCAGTTTGCAGAATCTGCATCAGTACTTGAAAGACTAACAAGGAGAGCCTCACCACACTTTTCTCCATTTGGGATATCACCACTTTGTTTCAAGGCTTGCAAAGACTCTCTATATGACAAGACACAACTGTAACAGGCATCATCATTGTAATTACTAGCTGATAAGTTCTTACAATTGGATTGAAGGGCATTGAATCTCTCAGCCCCAAGAAGATCTATGACTGAATCAACATCTTTTGAGCACAAGTTTGGTGTCTTTGAAGAAGAGATAAAATCTTCGAGTTTACATATGGAGAGGTTAGTCTTGTTGTGAAGATTTTGGAATGTGTTGGTGCAATCTTGAGCCTCAGTTAATTCAAGAAATATCGATCGAGACTTGTTAGCTCTTATAGCCATTGCTTGGAAGAGAGATTGCAAAGCCGAGTGACAGCATAATGACTCTGTAGCTGAGTCTTTGATGTTGGCTATGCCTACGCACTCACTGTGTGTTTCAGAAGGGAACTTGTTAAAATCCAGGGAGCAAGCACCTGAAAAATCAGAAATGGAAAACTGATAAACCAATGTTCAGAAGAGAAATTTGTTTTCATCTGTTCTGTGTTTGCTTACTTGAATAGCTAGTTTGAGGAATATTGCATAAAAACATGAAGATGAATAACAAGAGGTAGGAAATGGCCATTAGCAGCTGCTTGCAATTGAGAGCTCTTTGGTTATCTTCTTTGAACTAATTTTTAAAATATGTCTAGACTTTAGTGATGATATCTATCTTCTTTCCATCACAGAATGTCCCTTACGTATTAAATACTCTGAAGAATTTTTTATGAAACTATTTTTTTATTCTTCGCTAGTCAGGAATGAATGTTTGCCACTATTAATTATCTGTCTTCAACTGGGCAAAAACGATGTGCAATTGACTCGGTTAGTCATCCAAATTAATCTTTATGTTGAAATTAGTTTGTCTTCACTGTGACATGCACGTCTGTTAATATATAGTCAGGAAAACCTGTTCTTTAAATCCAATATTATATTGTATTTTCCTCTTCTTAACATGGGGATTAATGCTGCTCATTAACAACTTTCAAGTAAATTAACATCTTAAGAATTGATCTAATCCAGGATGCATACAATAATTTTGGTCTCAAACAGCAGTCTTGTATTGAAGTAACTTTTAACCAGAAAACAATGATCTGATCAGGCCATTTGCTCTGAAAATAGGATATGAGGCAGTACATGCCGTCCTAGAATATAATATCAGAACTAGTAAATTCCTAGAAGCTGCTTCCGTAAATACCAGGCACCTACTGTTTTTAAAGTTCATTAACTTTACTAGAGGAATTATTAACTCGTGCATTCCACAATTTCCTTGAAAAGTTGTCTTAGTTTCCTATAGATTACAATACTGCTTTAGAACAAAAAATTAATTGAATTGTTGGACAAGAAATTCCAAGGATATGATATGCCAAATGCTACTAGTTAGCTATACATTAATTAAGTACATTTGTTGTGCGTGCCTGAACTTTTGTTGGACCCTCAAGCATTAATTTGCAGCTTGACTCATTCTTGTTAATACTGCACGACACTCATCTTGTGCTACTGACCAACTTACTAAATGCCAAAGATAAAATAAATCATGGAGGACGACCAGGATTATTGCAATTTTATAACATCGGAGACGGTACTGGCCTAAGAACTTTGGAAGCTAATTAAGATCCTAATTCCTTTTCATTAACTATAGCTAGATGGCATAGGATTTGTATCGAGGATTTTTTTTTTTGACACAGTCAAAGGAGACTAGATCCGGACCCAAAGTTTTCCCATAAAGAAGGTTGAGCATTAAAAAAAGGATGTTATTACCATCTAACATGTATAGAACTTGGCTAAAATCCATTCTTCTGGCTATAATGGGTGTTTTCTAAGGACTAAAATTTAAGAACATTCTCATCAACAAGAGAGGATAATAATTGATTCCATGGACCATAAGGATATTGACCAAAATAATGGGTAAAAAGCTAAATCAATTTTTGTTTGATATTCTAAATCTTTCGCGTGTTTCTAAATTTTTAATTATAATTCATATATTTTAAAAGAAATTAAATTGGAACATGAATTTTTTTTTTTTTTTAACGAAATGCGTTTGAATTCAATCAATATAGGTATAAGCCTAGCTAGAGAAAAGCTCAAAAAAGTTTGGGAAGGAACTTGGCTAAAACATTTGAGATACCCCATCCAAAAAGAAAAAACAAAAAGACAAAAAAGTAGGCTAAAAATTGTTCATATTTATTTAAACTAGACTTTTATTTATTTATTTAGTGCCTTTGATAACAACATGCGAGTAACATGACTTAATTTAACCTTATCCAAATTAAAAAAAAAAAAACAGAGCATGACTTGATTTAAGTTAACGACACAATCGAAAGTGCTTGTAAAATGTAAATGGTAAATAAACTGTCAATTTGTGCAAGTTAAACTCACCGAAGAAGTCTTTTCTTTGTTATTTTGCTTTAGTTTTTTTTTTAGTTTTTTTTTTCCATTTAAAAAATGAATGGGCATGATTTCAACACGTTTAAAAAATAGTAAAATATATTTTAAACATAATTGGTCATGTAAAATATATTTTAAACATAATTGGTCATGTCCCCTCTGAAAAATGGAGAATCCTAATTGAAATTTAGAATTAATTAGCTCGGTTACCCACACTACGCTGCGGATCCGGTAGAACAAAATCATTATAAAATTTATAATTATTTATTTAATTATTTTTATAAATTTTCTGTTTAAAAACAACATAAACCATTCTTCTTTATGGATTGATTTTAAAATAAAAAATTACAATAATTTTAATTAAAATATTAATCAAAAATTAAAAAAAACTTTAAAAACATATTTTTCATAATATTGTATTTCAAAGAATAAAATTGTAATTAACGGATAGATTTTGATAAAAAATTAAGAAATGAAAAAAAAATTATTTAATGCTGATGAAAAGATTAATTTTTGAAATTATTCGCGGAACGTTATGGGCGGATAGAATAAAATCATTTCAAAATTTTATAATTTTTCATTTATTCTTTATTTAATTATTACTTTTTTTTGTATGTGCTTTTCGTACAATTTCTGCTTAAAAAAATAATTTGTTCTTTTTTATTCATAGATTCTTAAATAAAAACTTTTAATAATTTAAACCTAAAATATTAATTAAGAATTAAAAAATACTTTAAAAATATTTTTTTATAAGAATGTATCCAAAAAATAAAGTTACAATTAATGTATAAATTTGCATAAAAATTAACTAATAAAAAATAAAAAATTATTTTTATTTAATGTTGGTGAGAAGATTTTGTTTTTTAAGTATATGCATTTGATCTTTATATATTTATTTACAAAAGAATAATCAATAAAATTAGCAAAAAAGCTGTATTTGAATAATCAATTGGTTTCTTTAAAAAATCATTTTAATTATTTTATTTCAAATAAATTGACTCTATAATGTTAAAAAAAAATTCATAGTAAATAATTTGTATTATGTTAGAAGATGTATAGTTATTTTTTAACAAAAATAATGATTCAATAGTTTTTTTTATATGTATTGACCATACATAGCGAATCGAGATAAATTATTTAAAATGCATTTTTAACATTTTAGAATAATACATATATATGCAACTATCATTTAAAAATTCTAAGAATTTATGATATATATATTATACCAATTTATTTTTTGAAAAAGAAAAAACAATAAAGTTTTAAAATTTTATTCTAAAATTCAAATAAAGAGAAAAATAAATTATATTTATCGAGTATAATTGAACGTATAGCATAAATTATAAAATATATATTAAAGTTAATAGAATGCAATAAAAAATATAAAATTGATTTCGATAAAATTTGATCATATAAAGAACTACAAATCCATTGACACGCCAATTTCTTGAAAATTTAGCATGAAAAAATTGTTTGTAAATTAGTTTTTATTTTTCATTCTAATTTGCATACAAACTTACGCATCAATGGATAAATGGTAAAATAATGTTGAATAATGATAAATGATTTATCCTTCATGAAATTAAGTAGTAAGCTGCAACATGTGCTTGTAATGAAATTTTGCATAAGAAGTTTGTCTATATAGAATTATTCAAAAATAAATAACATAAAAATGTCACGGTAAGATAAGTACATGATAATTACCAACTCACTACGGGTTTTTTTTTTTCAAATAGGATAATCTATGGGTGGTTTGGTAACTCGGTCGTATGACTAATATAATAATAACACTCATTATATATGTCGCTACACGACGTCGGACGAGACCCCCTCAAAAAGAAAAAAATTATTAGGCGTTCGGTGTTAATTAATCACAAAATTATTTACGAGTTTTGGAGTCGCCACCTAGTATTTAAGGAACTAGGAACCTAAAAGTAGCACTGGTTCGGAGATTCCTAAGGTAAGGAGTTGGTTACGCTTTTAGGAAGATATTAAATCACCTAAAAGCGCCCTTTTCGAAAAAAGGCACCATGTACGGTTTAGTTCCGAATTATCTCCTAAAATCCATGTCAAGCTATTTTCTAAATTTTAATCTCTTGTCTTTTAGCCTAAATAATTTTTTTAGTTACGGGCGTGGCATCATATTGAAACGATCGTCGGTCCCCTTTGTTGGGTGACACGTCGATTCAAACATCGGATCCACTAAAAGCCTCGACACAACTAGCGTGTCGGAGGACGTCTTAATTGAAGGTGATTTTGATGACGTCGGCCCCTATCAAATAGGAGGCTTCGTCGAAATTTTTAGGCATTTTTTTTGTATGGCGTCGGTCCCTATAAAATAGGAGACTTCGCCATTTTTTTTTAAATGTATATTAAAGAAAAGAAAACAATAAAAAATTAAAATAGCAATTCTAAACTAAAAAAAATAAACGATGAGGAATAAAAATGAACGAGGCTAAAAAAATCATAAAAGAAAAAAAAATCATCCCATATAAACAGATTAAAAAATAAATGAACAATAAAAGTAATAATAATAAAAAAATCCTAGACCTAAAATATTAACCCGCCAATTTTTATTTTTTATTTATTTATTTTTTTACATCCATCCCTATTTTTTTCTCTTTTTTCTTCTTCTTATTTTTCCTTCCTAACTCTATTTTTATTTTTTCATTTTTTTTTTTAAGAAAGGGTGTGGGTTGGATTTCCTTTTGTTTTTTTTTTTGGGTAAAGGATGCGGGTAAGTGAAATCAGCCCAGCCCCTTTTCTTTTTTTTTTGGGCATCGAGTCGAGCTGGATCGAAATCGATCCAGCCAGTGCGTTTTCTTTTCCTTCTCCTTTCTTGGGCTTAAGCCCGAAACGAGCCGCGTCACCCTTTTTTTGCTTTTCGGATCAAATCAAGAGTTGCTCATTTTTAAACTTTCTCTCTCCTGTTCTTCGTGTTCTTCATTTCTCTCTCTAGTTCTTCAAGTTTTTTCCGAAAATTAAAAAAAAAACTCTTTTTTCAAATAACACATTCAATCACACACATCACAATTCAAGACAAGAAACAAATAGCAAGTGAACATCTAACCTTAAAACGAACAACGAAGTAAAACAAAAGAAAAAGGGAATCGAATTCGGGGACTCACCTGGAAAATTTCCCAAGAACAGACAAGATGAACCCGGAAAAATTCAATGAGAAAACCCGGAAGCTGCAGCACCACAAATGCTTGTTTCTCACGTCTCGATTGAAACCTTGCTCTCGATTTCTTTTCCTCTACCTTAACGAACCAAAAGCTCCCTCGAATCAACACCAACGACGTCTCCAACTTGTTCCGGATTGAAGAACACAAACCCGGAACAAGAACTTCAACCCAGAACCCGAAACTCAAAGAACTCAGCTGCCAAAAAATCAAAATTAAATCTTTTGCTTCCGATTTTGAACTCTCTCTCTCCGAAATTGTTCGCCTCTCCAAATTCCTCCCTTCTTTCCGAAATTCAAACATTTTATAGCCAAAACAATTTCCTAAATTGAATTGAAATCCCCGAATTTTCTCGTCAAAATCTTCCTCTTTAATTTGGGATTAATTGTGAAATCAAAACAGGAAATTCTCATTGATTCCTGTTAGTGTTGGTTTCGGCAACAAAATCCTTGATTAATACACAATCAAAAACACAAAATTCATGGAGGATTTGGGCAGATTCTCCCAAAGATTTTCGGAGAGAATGCGCTTGGAGCGAACGACGAGTCGTTTGCTCCATTTTGGTCCTGTCGTTCACTCCAAACTTCCAGTTTGGTCCTCGAGTTTCAATTTCAGCAATTATGCCTCTCTGCGAAATAATTTCGATGTAATCTCAACAATTAGGTTCCCGGAAGTGCAATTTAAGGCCTAAACTTTTCAATTGACTCGATTACACCCCTAATTACTTCAATTGCACCCCTAAATGAATTTTTTTCATTTTTTTCATTCATTTTTTTTTCATCATTTTCTTTCTCTTTTTTTTTCTTTTCCCTTAATAAACTTCAAATTAAAAAAAAATAATAAATAAATAAATAAATAAATAAATAAGAAAAAATAAGAAAAATTTGGGTTATTACAATATATATAACTTGGGAAAAAAATTACAAAAATATCAAACAGTGAACAATGAATCAAGGCAAATGAACAATAAATAGATAATATTTTACTGTTCATTTACCTCTGATCTTTTAGTTATATAGAATATACGGTTAAAAAATGTATTTAGAATGCAAGACACTTAACTTCTTCTTTTCTTTTCTTTTCTTTTCCAGCACAATCAATTCATTCTATGTTACATATCTTGGCAAATAAAAAAAAATAATAATTGTTCTATATATTACATATTTATAAGGTAATATCTTATCATAAAACTTCAAAATTAATTTTTCTTTCGAACATATCAAAATTTGAAATTCTATTGGAGAGTTTGAAGAACTTGCATCCAATTCCATGAGAAAACTTTTCCAACAGAATTCGTGGGACAAAAAAGAAGAAGAAGTTGATTTCTTAATATTTGTCTCTTTTTTCAACCACTACATATATATCAAGTTCTTTATTTTCCCTTTGAAAGGAAACCGGTGCGGTTTGTAGTTTTATTTTCTTTCCTTTTTTTTTTTTTTTTGTTCCTTTGGAAATCCTACTTTTCTATCTATACTGTAACATTAGTTTAAAGAAAAATCAATTATAGAATTCACCCCACATTTCCATAAGATACTTCTGGCACTTGCTACAACAACTATTATTAACAAACAAATCATTGCTAACTCTTTTGGTCCTTTCAGATTTGAAAACTTCAGCTGCAAAACTAGTCCCATCTTTCTTAAGGTTATGCCTATACTCCAAGGCAACCTGCTCAAACACTTCCACCTCAAACATGTTCAACTTGAGCTTTGGCTTGACATGATCTCTAATGTACGCAAATGGCAATTGGTCTCGTGGGTTAAAAGCTTCCAGCTCGTTGAATAAAAGACAAGAGAATAGGTTGTTGTTCACTCCATGCTTCCTCAAGATAAGAGCACTATCTGGTACATCTACCAAGAAGCACAAACGTAGGGAAGAAAATACATCATGTTCTTATGATGTTGGTTTAGAATGCCAACGTTGGTAAAAACCAATGCCAGTTAAATCATTAAATTTAAATAAAATAGTAAAAAGGATCCTTCAAATCCAACGTTAGCATTTTTCTTGGATCCATACAGTATTCTATATAAGTCCAAAGGTTCAGAATATCTATAAAAATTTGAACTTAAGATCATTTGATTAAACGATTAGAAAATTTTCCATTGAAGTTAACCATCTTAGATAACGTTAGCATTTTTCAAATTTTAAAAAGCAAAGCTAATTATAATCAAATCAATATTACAGTAATCATTAAGCTTCAAGCGTAAATTTCCTCCCCACTTTATAATGCCATAAAGAAGCATAAACATTATGATGCATTGATATGAGATTTCGTAATGGCATTTGCAAAATTCATCATGAAGCAAGGGAAAATTTTCTTAATTTATAATGTTAAAATCTTGAGTTATATTGGTACCTGAGGGATAGGGTTTATTGGGTGTCCATGGCTGCAAACCATTCTCACAGTACGTCTCCATTTGCTTTCTCAAACCATCAGCATCCTTCCATTTCTTCCACCTAGCGGTGGCTAATGCCTCTTCCATAGTATGTATAAAGAATGGATGTTTTGAAATAGCCATGTCCACTTTCTCTGACACAACCAAGGTATGAATCAATAATAATGGATCTACCGTTAGTTGCAGCTTCGCGTCAACCCAAATGCTAAATTTTGAGTTAGGAAAAAGTCTATGAACTAAATATTTGGGTACCACCCCATTCATAGCTGGATTAGCATACAAATCCTTGCTTGAGACCTTAACAATTCTCCATACACCTACATTGTATTCGTTGGAGTTTCTTGACATGACTTGTTGATGGTCTAGTCCTTTTAGGGTAATATCATCCACAAACATGAAGAAACACACAGTATCTAGAGTTTTGGATCCAAGGCTTTTCGGTTGCCTTATTTTGTCATAGTCATTGAAGATTGCTGAGACTACAACAACTCCATGACAACTCTTCATCGCCATTCTATCTGAATTACACAAAAAATCGAGATACCAAATCCCATTAGTCGAATTGATAACTTGAGAAATTGAATTTGAACAAGAAATTTAATCCATTGGTCTTTAGAGGTTCATCCGTTTAACGACCAAAAAAAAAAAAACCCTCCTTGAAATGATGTTAATTAAATAAAAACTGACCAGAATCACTGATTGGAAACTTCTTAAAGAACCCACAAGGAACCTCCACACTATCATTCAAAAGATCAAAATAGGAAATCCTCTTCTGGGTACTGAAATTCCCACCAAAATTCGTACTATTTCCTTCCATGTATCTCAATGGATGAGAAGAAGAGACTGATGAAGTCTGACACAAAAGTAGGATCTCCTTCAAGACCATCCAATAATCTAACAACAAAAACCATAACCCATTAATCAAAACAACGTCACCTAGCATTAAAACATATAATTCAATACCAGAAGAAACCAAAAAATATATGCATGTGTAATACCAGAGAAATAGATAGGGGAGGAGCAAGAAGAGCGATGTGTGGGAATGACGTGCTTGTGTTCGCCATAAGAAGAAGGGTAAGAGAAGAAAGGAGTCTGAATTGGATCGAAAGGAGAGGATTTGAAGAGACATTTGATTGGAGAGAGGGAGGTGTAGAGAGCTAGAAAGATAGTGGTGATGAGGTATAACAGAGAGATACAGAGAAGTTTTGAATGGAAGATGAGAGGTGTTGACATCTTTGCTTTCCCCATAGCCATAGCTGAAGTCTTGAGTTCCAACTGACCCGAAGGCAAAAACTTTCCATTTATAGAACTAACTAGACACTCTCTCCCGCACTTCGGGAACAACCACTTAAAATGAAGCCCCAAATTAAGGAACTTTTCAAAAGAAATCTAACTTCTCAGATTCATATCTAGTTGAATAATATAGTTGTCTCTTTCATGCATGAAAAACTTGGTTTCTGGTAGAGCTATTAGGTGCATCATCCATGCCAAGTGTTTGCAATGAATAATGCAACAAAGTGATCGTACATTTCAGGTATTTATATGAATTTACTTATAAGGTATTTATTAAAAAAAAAAGATAATAGAAATTACAATATAGTGATAGTTTTAGAGAGCATAGAGGACTTGGAATTCACAGCAAATTTCATTTTAAATAACATCCTGTGTTTTGAAATCTTATACATTTCACTCTCTCTAGTTTTTTTTTCTCTACAAAGGTTGCAACTCGTGCTAAAATATTTGGTGGATGCTCCAGAAACATGGCCATTGATTATAGTAAATGAATGCTTGAAAATTAAGCAAAGAATTTTGCACTACAAGATAAAGGCTCATTAGCGACGGGTAAAACCGTCGCTAAATCAAAAAACCCATCGCGAAAACTAATTCGCGACTCATTAGCGATGGTCACTAGGCCGTCGCTAAAAAGCTCGTCGAGTATATTTTAGCGACGGGTTTGACCGTTGCAAAATTAGTGACGATAAAAAACGTTGCTAATCCGTCGCTAAATGTCGATGTAAATACTTGCGAAATTGGCGACGGTCTATTAAACCCTTGGTATGACCGTTGCTAAATAGAGACGGATTAGCGACGGTCTAGACCGTTGCTAATATTCTCTTCTTTAGAGACGGTCTAGACCGTTGCTAAGACTATCGCTAATTGAAAAAATTATTTTTTTTACAGCTAAAATAAAATGAGATAAAATTAACAATTTTAAAATAACCAAAATCTCATAAAATATCGTAAACGTAAATTTTTATTATTAGAAATATATTAAAACGTCACTAAATAATTAAATTATTATTAAATAACAAAAAACAAGTACATCGATCGATTGCGGTTAATACAAGAAAACGAAAAAGCTAAAATAAATTAATGTCCGGGATCGGTCGGAGGTCGGGTGGAGTCATCCGGAGGCTAGGTTGCATCGTCGTCGATCCGAGGAACGACGGATGAACTACCATCATGGTCAAAATGCCGCATGAACATCTGTCGCATCCGTGACATCATTGTATACCGTCGTCGACTATAGGTTCTCAACTCATTTGTTGTATCCAACAACGATGCCACTTGGTCTTGAAGATTATTGACGAGTACCTCTAAGTTATTGATGTGTTTCGTGTTTGCGGATGTTTGCTCTTGTAATTCCTTCGACTATGCCTCGTCAATCGCATTGAATCCGGAAGTAGCGGAAGATGAGCCCGCATTGACGGTAGAATAATAGTGAGATGCATATGACCCGAGTCCATACATCCTCTTCCTCCTACTATCTCCTCCACCAACGGCCCTCCGAAATATGCCATTAATGTCGGGTGTGGTCGATTCGGTCCCTCCCGATCGTTGACTAGCAACCTCTTCCTCATTAATTAATCTTTGTACGGTCTCCTATATAATTATAAAACACATCATATTAAATATGTATGTCAAATAATGTTGTTAACTAATAAATATTAAATATTGTTTCAAAGTTATCACTTACTCCGATAACTCTCGATCGTTGATCGACGAAGACTAACCGATCACTAACCTTTCTCCGATAAATCCTTAAAAAAACCTCGTGAGGATCGGGTTCACGACCCAAGGCATTACGCCGAAAGCATATATAAATAAACGTAAATGTATTAAATATAGTCAAATGTTTAATTAATTATTTTGAGTATTATTTTTTAAAAAAATTATAAATAAATTAATTAATATATATTTTTTTACCATTCGTATGGCGTGCTCTCTATAGCCGATTGATCCCCCGTATGTCTAGAAGGACCGGCTCCGACTCCACCGGTCTCGCTCCTACGGTTCCGTGTCGCCATCTCGGATCGAGCAACGGCCTCGGGTTTCATCCATTCCATAGTCCATGCATCTCATATTTCCCGTGAGATATATACCGGCTTCGGTTTTTTCCTTAGATGACAAAGAAAGTCGAATATCGCTTTCGTTCGAGACTTTTCCATGCTTTCTTAACTATGCTCTCGTTCAAATCATCATCCCACTTAAATGATTTCTCGCAAACAAAAAAATAAATAAATAATAAACATTACTAAATTTATTTGCATATTATTTTATGCTATTTAATTAAATATTAAATAATATAATGAAATATAATTTAGAAATTAGAACCTTAAATTCTTCTCGGTAAAAATCTTTTGTCTCTAGACTCATTTTTTTCCACATCCATCCCGAAATATGAACATACTCCCGGAATATCATAACGATCGAGCAAGAACAAACATCGGAGGGATACAACCTACAAAAAATAAATATTAATTAAATTCATAAATAACCGAGTACATAATAACGGTAATAAAAATTTTTTTAATTAAAATAAGCATAAACCGTACTCATTGCGCCCAACGAAAATGACTCATACTCGATGGTCAACCGCGGATGTGATTACTTCGAAGCCGATTGACGTGGGATGTCGTGGGGTGGAACATGTTGAGGAACGAAACGGTTGTCCCGATGTGATGTCGAAAGCACTAACGACGACGAAGGAAAAGATGAGGGAGGTCGACGTGGAGGTCCATAATACGAAAATGGCCGAGGCCGAGACATGTCGGGCATGGAACGGGATGTGGAGGGGCCACCGAAAGAGTGGTATAGAGGAATGTCCAGTGGGGGATCCATCCGACCGTGAGCGGAATGAGAAAGGTGTCTATATCCACGATCATTGTCGGATCGATCGGTATCCGAACCACGACCCCTAGCTCGACTCATTATGACCTACATATTAATTATTAAATTCAATAATATTTAAATAAAATATTAATTATATAATGCATATATACTTATATATAACATTCAAATTAATATGAACAAATTGAATTATATTAATTTAAACAACAATAAATCAAAAATATTTATTTAATTAAATCTTACGTTTAAAAAGTATGAGTTAATTAACTATGTAGGTAAACATAATAATAAACCTAATTTTTTTCTTTTAGGTGACGAACAAGGACGGTACCACTGGAGATTTATTAAAATAGTATGAAAAATTACACTCTGGGGACAAAACCAGACTTATCCCAACATCCCGGGAGGACAAGGTTTCCTAAATCCTTAAATTCGAACCGCAATTACATAAAATCCAAGTGCATAATTTATGAATTGAATAAAAAATACAATATAACATAATCTACTCGGGATATACCATATTATCTCTAATCGGTATCATTATCATCATTGTCGGATTCTTCATCTAAGTCTTCCTCAACATCGGTTTCTAACTCCGATTCATTCCGAATATCTATTTCACCACCGTCCAATTCTAATAATGCTCCAAGTAGGATCAATCAATGACTCGACTTTCATCATCATCAACGTGCATGACATTGCGTTGGCCTTCTATTTCATTTTCTTGAAAGGGTTCGATATTCGTTTGATCGACGATAACGTATATTTCGGCACATCAACCGTCGACCTTGGCTTAACCTTATATACCACCAACCAATCTCATCATATGCGTTTACATGTAGGATATGTTACATAATACACCTATCGTGCTTGTGATCCTAGTATGAAGGGATCGGATCTATTTGAATACTTGCGACTATAAACCTCTACTAGTCCATAATGATCATGAACTCATGTACCGGTCCTGTGTGTCGTATCATACCAATCACATTTGAACAAAATGATTTTCTTTATTGGTAAGGTTGGATACTCAAGTTTGAGTATGTCAATCAACCTACCGTAGTAGTCATTTGTCACCATACCGTAACTAACTCCTTTTACACACACTCCACTACACATTGATGCTCTCTCCGAACCACCATCGGTATGAAACTTATATTCGTTTATAATGTATCCCGCATACGACTTTGCAATTCGCAATGGTCCTTTGACCAAATCTTTAATATAATGATATGTTACAGTCTTAGGTTGTGCTCGACTTGCCTTTATGTAAGGACCGAGTTACTTTTAAGGTAATGTTATTATAAAATTTTATAAAATAAATTTATGAATATTTAATAACAATTTTGACAGCGAGCAATACTCACATATCGATGGAACTATGATGCAAATTGATTTTGAAGTCGAAAATCAACCTCGTTTTTCGATATGTCGGGGTCACTTTTATAAAGTTGATTGATAAAATATATGACGATAAAAATATTGTTATTATATGTTTTAAAATTGAATGATAGTTAATGAATAAATGTATAGTAATAATATTTGATAGTTATAAAACTTACTCCGTGTAAGGTGTGACCTCATCACGGCTCAATAGATGTAGGTGTGCGCCGCATTCTTTTCTTGATCCGTCGGGACATATGATCATGCTCGACCAAGAGGTCTACCTTTAGGAATGAATATTGCTAACATGTCTTCAATATCATCATTCGGTTCTCGATCATAGTCAAAGTTTCTAGGCACTTTCCAATGCCTAGTATGTATATGAGGCTCGAAGTAATATGAACAAACCATTGAAGCTTCCTCAACTAAATATACATTGCATATTGACCCTTCGACTCTAGCTTTGCTCTTAACATTATTTTTTAATTTACGAAGGTACTTACAATAATATTGTGAGTTCATTAGACTTAATCAACATTTGACAGAGTTATAAACTTACGGATGTCTACTAAAATCATAAATTTGTACCTTTCAAATGGATACATCCATCGATATTGTACGAGTCTAGCTATTTTTGCTTCATATGCCAAGTGTATGGGAAGATGCTCCATTGAGTCAAAAAAACTAGATGGGAAAATATGCTCTAATTTGTATAAGATTATTGATATATTTTCCTTAAG